GCTGTGCATGGGCAGGGGGCTGGCAGGCGGGCTGAGCCCCTGGCCCTGCAGGCGCACTCCTGCCATGGGTGCCAGCAGAGCAGGCGCAGTGGGGGCCCTGCCCTGCCTGAGGGGGAAGAAGGAGCTGCTCTGAGGCGTGGCTCGGCCCTCAGCCGAGGACAGCAGCCTTGTGTCCAAAGTCAGGCCAGCCCCGCACGGCCAGTGAGGGCTGATGTGGGTGCGGGCCAGGCCGCTGGCCCTGCGGGTCCGGCAGCCGCATCCCTGGTCTCCTGTCGCAGGAGACTCCATGTCACCGCTGTCCTCTGGATGAGGAACTCGCGGCATCTGGTACCTGGAGAGACTCTGGGAACCGACAGCAGCGTGGACTTTGTCCTTGGGCTACCTGCTGGCCCTGAGGCCTCAGACCCACAGCTGTGGCCAAGTGGGCCAGGGCATCAGTAGAAGGGATGTGTCACTGTGCCTTGTGTCCTGTCGCGCCAGAGCGAGGAACCAGACTCTGCTCCAGTCTGGAGCCACAACAGCGAAGTCCCCGTCTGCAGAGAGTCCCATCCCTTGTGGTCTTGGCTTCCTGCGAGATGAGGAGTGGGGGACAAGCGGATTCGCTGGGGTCCACACCAGCCCGCGAGCCAGGGAGGTCTCAGGCGGGACGGAAGAGCCCGCGGTAGGTAGATGAGGGCAGAGGGGCCCAGAGGACCTCCTTCTCCTCTGCCCACAGCCTGCGGAAGTCCTGGGCTCAGGACCGCAGGCCCTCGAGGTGTTGGAGAGGAAGGGGCTGTAGGGACAGGTGTGTGGCCTGCGGGGCCACAGGACCTGCGCTGAGGCAGGCGCTCGTGGAGGAAGCAGAGTCCTCTGAGGTCACGCGGCCGGGGCAGGGCCACGTCTAGGACTGCAGGGCTCCGAGCCGGGCTCCTCACACAGCCTGCTCAGCCGGAGACCAGGCAAGGAGGCCCAGGCCCTGTGACCAGGGCAGTGGGAGGTTGTATTTTATTTTTGGGTAGTTTGCTCTTTATTTATCCATTCCACAATGAAAATGGTTAAGGACTGACAGTGCTTTAAAATTCAAATTAGACAGTTTAAAGAAATGAAAAATAAAGTTTAAAGAAAATAAAAATTACGGCTGAATCTCAGCAACTGGAGAGTCACTCTTAACAGTTTGGTGAACAGATTTCTAGACAGCTCCATGTGAGTTTGTGTGTGTGCATGTGCGTGTGAGTGTGGTTTTATGGTAATGGGAGCACTGACTGTTTTATAATCTGCTCTTTTTACTCCACCATATGTCATGGAGTTTTTCCATCTCATATAGCTCTCCCCTTCCTGTAATGCTTGTTCCCTGAGAGAGAGACCAACTTTTCTTTGTCCCAACTCAGTACTGAGGGGCAGTCAGATGTTTCCAGTCTTGCTATTCTAAAAACTCAGCCAGGCATTGTGCTGCAGGCCTGTAATCCCAGCACTCAGAAGGCTGAGGCAGGAGGATCTCCCGGCAAAGGTTTACTTTCTGTCCCCAAAAGTTCAGAGTGGGAAGCAGCAGCAGCAGCAGCAGAAGCAGCAGCAGCAGCAGCAGCAGCAGCAGGAGAGCTCCAACAACTGCAACTGCAGCATGTGATAAGGTCTCGACTTATGCCACGGGGTCCCTAAGGTCACCTGGCTTCATGATGATGGGGCTGACAGCAGGGCAAATGTTCTGTGTGCACTGGTGGGTGTGACCCAGATTGGCAGCCCCCTGGCAGGGGAAGGGCAGGAGCATCAGGAGAGTGCAGAAGGGCCCTGGCTCCACCAGCGGCCACCCGAAGTGAGGACTGAAGCTCGGCTCCCTCCTCTCCCCTCCGAGACCCAGCTGGATGAGGTGCGGGGAGCTCGATTTGGGGGCATGGGAAGGGGCAGTGAAGATGCCTGAGGTGCTGGCACCAGGAGGCTGGGGGGGCAGAGGCAGCGGGGCGATGCCCAGGATGCCGAGCACCACGGGGCCAGGGAAGCAGCCCGGTGAAGAGCTGGGGCCCAGCTGGCTGGAGGCCCAGCAGACCCTGACTGTGCCCAGACAGCCGCAGGTGCAGGTCTGGGTGGGGCAGGCCCCGGGGCATCCGGGAAGCAAAGGGATTCAGCAGCAGCAGCAGCAGCAGCAGCAGCAGAGCTTCTGTCTGAGTTCACGCCTCTCCATGCACAGGGTTGTGCAGCTTTATTTTGTTTCAGAAACAAACCAAGGTCCTTCAGCAGCACAAATGCAGCAGCAGCCCCTTCCCGCAGCCTGGCAGTCAGCTGTCGCACAGCACAGGCAGCAAGCAGGTCTCCACACACATCTCCTCTCACGGGAACAGGTCTCCGTCGTCAGACAGGAGGACACCCCGGAGTAAAACCTCAGAGGCCTGCCTCCTGTCCCCTTGCGGTGCCACCAGCGCTCCTTAGGGCACTGCCCGCTTCACCGGCTCCCACAGGTGGGGGGCCACCGGGAACCTGGCCCGTCATTCCAGTCCCCGAGGCCCCCCCAGATCGAGACACAAATAGCTCCAGGCCCACGCACCTCCCAGCCCACTAACAGGGCTGCTTGCTCTTCTCTCCTTTTATTTATTTTTTTCAAGGGAGCAAAATTCAGAATAAGAGCTGGCAGTTCCAGAAAACTTTTTCTGGCTCCTCACAGAACCATGGTAGAATGGATGGGAGGGAGGCCTCGCTGCCGCCTCTCACTGGGCTGGGACTTGGGGACCTCTCCTCTGGACACAGGAGGTGTGGGGGCTGGGGAAAAAGTGGGGCTCACCCCAGAACCTGATCTCCCAGGGGTGGTTCCCCTGCTTGGCTTCGCAGGGGGACTCAGAGTGAGGCCTGGGCCACCTGCACCTCAGTCTGGAGACCATGCGGTGAGTTGTCCAGGAACAGGCAGAGGCAGTAGATGCCACTGTGGGGCAGAAGATGATCTTCGGGTGAGCCCAGAGGGGGACTACGCCCCAGAAAGTGTGGGTGCAGCTCATTTCCCACAAGTCGGGTCTGGACCAAGGACTGTGCCCCCCACAGACCGGCTTAGGCAGGTGGCAGGCTCACGGTGCCTGGCCTGGCATCAAGACCCTCACTTAGAAACTTCTGCTTTGGCAGCGTTTCCTTCCTCCGAAGGTCCCTCTGGGGCTGCACCCTCACAGCCCGGCTCTGGCTGGACACTGCTGTGTGAGGAGAGGGTGACACCACGCTCCTCTGGGACCCGGCTGTGGCCCCATCTGTAAGGACCTTCGTTGACACAGCGTCTCAGAAGGGAGGGGGACGGGGCTTCTGAGGACTGAGGGCCACCAGGTGCAGGGGTGTGGCCGTGGCGTGTGCTCGCACCTCCCTGGTGCTGCACGGCAGGGGGCCCGTGGGAGGCCACCCCGCTGTCTCCCCAGCACCCGGCCCAGGAGGCTGCAGGTTCGGGGCTCTGAGCCAGCCAGGTGGCGTGACTGGGCTGTAGGCCAGAGCCGGGGGCTCCAGGGGGAACAAGGTTCGGCATTCATCCTGAGGGTGGCAGCGCTGTGAGAGGTCCCCGCAGTCCTCTCCACGACGGATGCTCCGGGCTATTCCTGGCCCCTTCTGCAGTCCCGGGGCTGCTCTCAGAGGCTGCATGGGAGGATGAGGCCAGCAGCGAGGGGCAGCAGGAGCAGCCAGGGAACCCCAGGGACAGTGGCTGCAGTGAGGGGAGCAGTGGATTAGGGCAGGGCTGCCTGGGTGCCCCCTGCCTCCCGCATTCTGCCCTGTTATGCTGTTCCTTCCCCTCCTGTCTGTACATATTCATTCATCCCTAATGAAACCACGTGCATATTTATCGTGCTGCTCACATCCCTCTGGACTCTCATTGTTAGCACTTACGCTCATTATCCAGGTCTATTTGGGTGACATGGCCAGTGTCCCTGTGGGAGTTGTCGCAGCCTCCCGGACAAGGCACCGTGATTATCATGCCCTGGAGGCCTGTGCTCTGTGTGCCCAAGGCCTCCCGCGCCCTTTCAGCTCCTGCAGAGTTTTGGGTGAACTGCTCTGAATGGTGCTGGCAGATGCGCCAGGAGCCCGTGCCCTACCTGGGCCGGAGCATGGCAGAGTCAGGATCCCCTCCATGGCTCTCACGTAGTCAGGCCCCAGCCACCCAAGGTATGTGCTCTTCTCCGCGACAGGCACCAGCCGGGCTGTCACGTCCTGGAAAAGCAGGTCTTGGCCACCGTACTTGGAGGAGTCGAACATCTGGAACCCATTCTTATTGTTGTCTTCTCCGTACAGCGCCTGGAAGCACCACAGGCACCTGCTTTTCATAGAGCCTGGGAGGCTGGGGACCCAAAGCCAAGCCCAATGGGCAGCTCACTGCTTGACAGCTGTGGGCCTCTGTCACTGAAGGGTGTGGAGAGGAACGTCCAGAGACCCCGCCCTGAGAGAGGCACTCAGAGAGGGACCCCGAGCCAGTTCTTTCTGGGGTGCAGAATGGAAGTGTGCCGTCTGCAGGAGGACAGGCGAAGTGAGGAGAGGGTGCGGATCCGAAGGCTGAGAGCCTTGCTTGGCCGGCTCTGCATTTCTCAAGCCTTCCTATCACGCCTCTGCTACTCTCTTTGCTGGGAATCCTTGGATCGAATGGCTACAGACAACCCTAAAAGACTGGAAGTAGCAGATGTCTGGGCACCTCTGTAAACAGACACGGAGAGAGAACGCACCGTCACTGGTCAGCTGCTAGGTCCAGCTTATCCAGTAGGGAAGGAGAAGTGAGGGTTGTGTCTTTTTGGAGGGGACTCACACACTGGTCCTCTTGAAAAGCTGATAGCACGATCAGCCTCCTCCCCAGAGAAATGCATGCCACACGGGCTCTTCCAACATTTCTTCAGAGGACGTGGGGGGCCTTAGGCCTGGAGGACGGAGGCAGGGATAGAGGGGCTCTTTGGGAAAGATGATTTCAAACTTTAGGGCCAGGCCCAGAGAGCCAGGGCCTCTGCAAGTCACTGGCGCCGGTGGGGAGGGCGCAGAAAGGGTTAGAAACCAGGAGCTCCTCAGACAGCCCAGGTTGGGATTCCAGATGTGTCCTGTATGAACAGCCAGCAAGACAGATGCAGGTGTGGGCCGGAGGGGGAGACAGACGGGATGAGATCAGTAAGGTGGTGAATGAAGACAGAGAATAAGGCATTTCCAGGCCAGCAAGAAGGGGGTGGGGGAAGGAACAGAGGCGCCGGGGAGCCAGGAAGGCACAGGCGCCTGGAGCCACAAGAAGGGATTGGAACTCTGGGAGGAGGGGCTGTGGCCAATGCTGGGTAGGGGTCAGGAACATGAGGACTGAGAAGTGGCCACAGGATTAGCCACACGAGTAACGGTGATCGTGAACAGGGGCCTGTCCGGAGTGGTCTCCAGCCAGGAGAGACCGGAAGGAGATGTGCTTTAGAGGAACCTTGCTCTCAAAGAGAGTGGGACTATGGTTACCAGAGGATGTGCGGGGAGAGAGCTCATTTGTCAGACGGTAGAAAGAACAGCGTATTTGCGTGCTGGTGGGAGTGGCCCTGTTGAGAAGTGGAGAACAGTGCAGGAGACATCGGGGTCAGGGCAGGAGGACGGAACCTGGGCAAGTGAAAAGCATAGACTCCTCCTTCGGGGCCTCTCGGCGTCCCCGAGTCTGCTTCCGGTCCACAGTGGGCGCCTGGGAGGCTTCGCTCACCACCGCCACCCCTGGCCTGGTGACCTCGGCCCTGCTGCCTCACCTGCGCCTTGTCCAGGAGTCCGAACACAGTGAAGGTGTTGGTGTCTGGCCGCACCATGACGACGTGGGCCGGGATCTTGGCCAGGCTGCAGGCTTGGAACTGGTGTACCTCGGCGCGCGCCCCGTTGAGGCACAGCAGCTGGTAGTCCTGCTGCCTGAGCCCAGCTGCCCAGGGCTCCGGAGTGTGGCCTGGGGACAGTGTGGGGTGGGGCAGTGTGGACGGGGTCTCCGGACCCTCTGGTGCCAGAGTGGCAGAGCCCTGCCGGGTGGGCGAGAGGAGTGGGAGCCTGTACTGCGGGGAGTGGGGCGCAGACCCTCCGTGACTAGAGCGGCGCAGCACCACGGTAAAGCAGGGCAGGCACTATGGCCTCCATTTTACAGATGTGGAAACTGAGGCCCTTCACCCTCCCAGGCGAGGAACCCTAGGCCTGGGCATGGGAAGTGGTGGTTGATCGCACCCCTTATGCACTGAGCTTCTCAAACTGGAGGAGGGATGGCAACACCTGTAAGTGCAAAGAGCACCCCAAAGTCCCTGCTTGCAGAATCTGCACTTCGGGCTGGCAGCCCAGTGCTGCTGAAGCAGGTGCTGTCCCGGGTTTCTAGAGCAACGCCACCCTGGGGAGTTGCATTGTTCCGCCCCTTCCTGCGTTCACTGAGCGGCTGCTTCCGGAAGGCACACCAGGGGGGCTCTGGGTATCGCTACGGATAAAGGTGATGAGCGCCCGGAGAGGGGGCCTTGCTGCGGAGCAGATGAGTCTCCCCTGATCTGAGCTGTGAGATGCTGATGTTTCCGCTGCTTATCTTGCCTGCCCCCCACCGATACCGATACCAACGTCCTTCCTGGCCACAGGTCTGGGGTGTTAGGACCGAGCGGGGGCCACCGAGGCCCCAGCATATGGGGTTGCAGAGTGTCTGGGGCCAGGTGTTGGGGAGCAGCCTGCAGCCTCCGAACAGACAGAGCTGGGAACAGGGACAGCACGAAGGCCCTGCGGCGGATGGGAGCTCGAGCTCAGTCCGGGGTCCCCAGACGACCCCGGGGAAAAGCCCGCCTGTGTCACATGTCCGGGGTGAGCCCTGCCTTTGCCCGGAGTCTTCCAGACTCAGTGCTCCCCACTGCTGCTCCGGGCCCTGAAACCAGCAGTGCCTGAGGCCTGGGTTGTGTTGGGGACAGGAAACAGCCCCCGATACCCGACTTCCGACCCCAACCCCTCACGCACCGTTTGTGTTGTCAAAGACAGTCGTGTGCTTCACAAAGGCGACGTCCCCCGCCTTCTCTGTCAGGCACCTGCCACCCGAGAGAGCAGGCAGGGGTCGGGGGAGGATGAGGGTGCCCACCCTGGGGCTGCCCCAGGTCCTCCGCCCCGCCTGCTGCTGCGTACCTGAAGGCCCCTCTGTCGCCGAAGTAGCGCTCCTGGCTGTTGGCCACACACTTGTTTCGGCCCTTTTCGTCCCCCTTGCAGACAGCACACAGCGAGTATGGGTATTTCCTGGCCTCACTCCCGGGCACACAGCTGCCGTTGAAGAACTCACTCACCCCTGGCAGAAAGACAGCCAGGGAGAGGTAGGCCCATCAGCCTGGGCTGGCACTCCCTCCGTGACGGGGAACTCCCTACCTTCTCAGTTACACCTTTCCTATGGGAGAGACTTGGTGGTGTCCCCGGAAGTCTGGGGCCGTGTCCCTCAGGGACTGTACCTTGGATCACATCGCAGTCCCGGGGCTGGATGGAGCCCCTTTGGATGAGGGCGCCCATGGGCACCGTCCAGCCAGTGGGGCTGTCCACGCTGGGGTGGCAGGAACGCTTCCCGTGCAGCTCGTGCAGGCTGAAGGCTGCAGAGATGTCCCGCCTCACCAGGGCCACCGCGTAGTCTGAGCTGCTGCTGTTCTCTGAGGGCACAGGGAAGTCCCTCGAGGGGCCATCCTTCCAATCCACCCCTCTGCTTCTCTGTGACAGTGGTGAGTGCCCCAGGGGTCCCAGCCTGAGGCCCCAGCTGCTCAGGGCAAGGCCGGCAGGTCTCCAGTCCTCAAGAGGTAGCCTGGGCCGCTCTGCTGTCCAACTCAGACCTCATTCTACCCAACAGCCCTTACCCTGGGCCTTCTGCCCCCTTACAGCCTGGCAGCATTTCCCTCAGGGCACAGAAGCCTGCAGCTTTTTCTCTAGGCCTGGAGATGTCGCAAGGCCTGGTAGAAGGGACCGGGTCAGCCCAAGGTGCCCACTTAAAGAGACGGGCCAGGCCGTGCGCAGGCCACCAAAAGGTGTGAGTGAGCTGACAAGGGAGGTGACAGGCCCCTTTCCTGGGGAGAAGCCTGGGCCACCCCAGACTGTGTGGTGTGGTGGCCCATGACTGTCTGTGGTGGTACAGGGCCAGGGCACTTCAGACAGGGAATAGCATAGGAGCCTCATTAGGTCTTCTAGCTAATCCTGACTAGAAGGAGTTAAAAACAAATTTCACTACAGAAATCCCCCTGGAGCTGGGCGTGGTGGCACACATGCCTATAACCCCAGCACTCGGGAGGCTGAGGCAGGAGGATCGCTGTGAGTTCGAGACCAGCCTGGGCTACATAGTGACTTCCAGGTCAGTCTCAACTACATAGTAAGACCCTGTCTCAACACCCCCCCCCCAAAAAAAAGAAATCCCCCTGGAAACAGGTCAAAGACTGGGCTAGAAAAAGAGAAAAATCAGATAAAAGCACCAAATGGCTGTGGGACTTGCACCAAGAGGCCAGAAAAAGAGTTGAAAGGCAGGATACGGAGAGAAAGCCAAGTGCATAAACGATAAGCCGTCCCTACCTCCAATAAAATATAGAAAAAAAAAACACCAAATGGGGCTAAAGCAGCACGCACTCCCACTGCGCACTAACATATCCTCTTACACACACGAGCATTCACTCTAGAGTCACTGTATGACTCACTCCAGGGCCGCCATAGGGTACAGCAGCCCCCTTACGAACTCCAAGCTAACTGTGAATAAGGAACCCCCTTGCCAACTAGCCGCCCACCCCAAAGATAAGGCCTGAAAAGGTAGGTCAAGGACAAGCAAACAGAGAGAAAGAAGCTGCACAGAGACCACCGGAGAAAATAATGTTAGACAGGGGTGTCCGGAAGCCAGTCCGGCTATGGCAAGTCCTGTGCTGGGGGGAGAGTCTCTCTCTGAGGCCCAGGGATCCTCATCTTCCCGGAGCCCCTACACTGATTCTTTCTTATCAGGGTAGCTATCTACCTCCTCCTTTCTCCACAAATAAAGTGTCTTCCTCCCGTTAAACGGTGCCTCTCTACTATTTTATCGGTGCTGAGTTTATGATCCTTGTGGATTCTTGCCCGGCAAGACAGCAGTTCTCTTCTGCCAGATGCAATGTCTTTGGTGCCCTGACCAGGAGATGTGACAGTGGCCTGAGTTGCAAAATGGTTTTTATACATATTTTAGGCTTTGCAGGCCATGCACAGTCGCTGTCATGTATTTGATTTTATTTATCTTTTGGTACCGGGGATTAAGGAGAGTCTTTGCATTGAGCTACATCCCCAGCCCTTTCTTCATTTTAAATTTTGAAAGAGAGTCTCTCTAAGACACTAAGTTGCCCAGGCTAGGCTCAAACTTAGGATCCTCCTGCCTCAGCCTCCCAGAGTGTTGGGATTATTCTTTTTAGAGATGCTCACTGTATGGATGGGGAAATTGAGGCCTGGGGCAGAGGGGTTTTCTAGTGACAGAATGCAACTAGCCCAGGGAGAGAGGGACTAGGGCAGGGCTAGGGCTCCTGAAAATGTCAGAGGGGACAAGATTCCCTGTTTATGAAGATAGCAGTCACCACCTGGCAAGGCACTTACCAGTATAAGACTCCCCAGCTGCTGGGACCAGCCCAAACATCTTCCCTGCTGTATAAATGTCTTCACCCCTCAGGGTCACAGCGTCGATGTGCCCATCCTGGAGGGAAGAGAGAGTGGCCGGGATCAGAAGACTCTGGACACTGGGGTCCGACGGCAGTGGCAGGGCCTGTCCCTGACAGGTCTGCTCCTGTCTCTGTTCCAGACAGTGTGTCACCAGGCCTGCCACCTGCTGGGGTGGGGACCCACGGCTCTCCACCCTGCAGAGGTCTGAGGGGCCGTCTGGCCATGGGCTGGCACCTGGTGTGAGTGCAATGCACATTGGTTGGATGCGTGTGCAAAGGCAATGATGGCCCAGGTCTTAAAAGGTGGCTATTTCAGCAGGCCGTGGTGGACCACACCTGCAATCCCGGCATTCTGAGGCAGGAGGATCACAACTTAATCACTTAGAGAGACAACGTCTCAAAACAAAAAATACAAAAGCGTGGACCTGGAATCTTCTGGGTCACCTGCACCCAACTTGACCCTTTTGAAGCCTCTGCACAGGAAGCCTGGGCTCTGCAAAGGGCTAACTGATAACCTGGGACAAGGCCAGGGAGCGCAGAGCCAGAGCCTCAGAAGGTGGCTCAGGAGCCCCTGAGGCACGAGAGCAGGGCTAGCAGACAACGATGTTCTGAGCCCGGAGGGTGCACCTCTGGGTTCTTCTCCCTCCGGACCTCCCGGAATGGACACAGAGTGGGGACCACAGCCATGGCCCTGCCTGGCAAAAGTCCCTTTCCTGGGCCATAGGGCAGCTTGGAAATGGATGTTAGAGCCACCAGACCCCATCCCTGAGGCCATGGGAGCCTCTGAGATGTGCTGAGCTGTGCTCTGCTTCCCTGGCCCCAGCCAGCTGCCAGGTATCCTGAGGTAAGGAGCCCTGTGCCGTGGGGCCAGGGTGCAGTGTCAACGTGATTGGCTCGGGAATCTGCTCTGGGGCCTGGGTGTGTCTGAGAGGGTCACAGAGGGTGGCTTTGGGGTCAGTATCTGCTCTCTCGCCCCTTTCTCTCCGCCCCTTTCTGCTCCCTGGCTCTGCTTCATGGCTGCCGTGAACCAAGTGGCTGATCCACCAGACCCTTCTGCCTCTGCTGGTCCTGCCTTGGAGCCAGCTGCCATGGACTGAATCTCCTTAAAACATGAGCCAAGCTCAATCTCTGAAAGACGTGAGCCCACAGGTCCGCTCCTGGCCTGCAGTGTCCCCCCTTTTCTCTTGGCTTGTTGCAAGAGCCCCCCGCCCCCCGCACTGCCCCTGCCTGAGCTCGGGCCTCAGCGCACACCTGGATCTGCGTCATGCACTGCAGCGGGGAACTGGCCCACACACACTGGATCTCCGGCTTGAGCTTCTGCTGGTTGAATGCCAACGCCATGTCACCACACTTGCGGAACTCGGGTGTGGACAGCACGCACCAGCGTAGGAAGTGGGGTAGCTCTGTTGGGGGGTTTTGTTCAGAAAGGGTTAGGGTTCCTCTTTCACGGGGCTGTACGAGGCTGCACTGTTTCTACCTCAGTGTCCTTGGCCATAGGAGGGAGATTTATGGGGCTGGGGGACTGGAGACAGGAAGCCCACATTTTTGGAGTGGGTTTGAGAAAGAGTCTTGCTATGTAGCCCAGGCTGGCCTAGAACTCATGGCAATCCTCCTGCTTCAGCCTCCCAAGTGCTGGGATTACAGGAATGCATTTCCACACCTGGCAGGGGCAGAGATGCTGCCTCCCCAAGCTCCTGGGGAGAGAAGCGGAAGCAACAGGTTCCCACAGAGGCCCCAAGACACCCTCCTGGGCCACCTCCCCAGAGAGCCCTGGATTGGCAGAAGCAGGGACTAGGACTTACGGTTGGGGTCACAGAACAGGCCCTTCATGGCACGTAGGAAGTCGTGGCCCAGCCATGCCTCATAGGTCTGGGTACCAATGGGCACCAGCTCCAAGGTGGCGTCCTTGAACAGCAGGTCGCTCTGGCCGTAGTTCTCTGAGCGGAACATCTGGAAGGTGCTGCCTTCGTGGTTGAACAGCAGCTGCACGGCAGGGTGGCAGGGCGGCTGGTGAGGGCCTCTTGGGTGTGGCCTTTCCTTCGCGCTGTGGCCACCACTGCCATGTCCCACTGCCTCGGGCCAGGCGAGGCCACTTGGCCCCTCTCCTCCCTGTTCCTCTTCACACCAGGACACTGAACTCCTGGCGGACCTTGGGATGCACCGCTTTCCCTATGGCTCCTTCATTCTGGTTTAAGATTTCAGAGACTCAGAACGGAGAGGAGCCCGGGCTGGGTCCTGGGACTCTGGGCCCCGTCTTTGGCCCTGGCTCCCACCCTGCTGAATGGTGAGCAGGAGACACCGAGAGAGCTTCTCTGAGAGGGCACCCATCTCACCTGGCCCTCGCCGAGCAGTCGGAAGAGGAGTTTTTCATCCATGTCAGCCCGGACCACCACGGCACGTGCGGGCACCCGGGCCAGGTGGCACCGCCGCCACTCCGTGACGCTGGCACGGCTGCCATTCCTGCACAGCAGCTCAAAGTCCTGTGACAGCAGAGCCTTGTCCCAGGAGGGCAGGGTCTTCCCTGGGGTACCAGAGAGGGAGGTGAGGTGTTGCAGGGGTGAAAGCCCAGGACTGCAAGACCATTTTTCTTTCATTTGGTTTGGTTTTGTGAGACGGGGTCTCCCCATGTAGCTCAGTCTGGCCTTGAACTAACAGCGATCCTCCTGCCTCAGGCTCCCGAGTAGGATCACAGGCTGGCGACACCACACCTGGCTTCTATTTCCTTTTTTTAAAATTAAGTTTATTGGTACATTTTAGGTATACAGCAAAGTTACATTCATTATTGGGATCTTGTACCTTTACATGACAGGTCATGGTCTGGCTTCTATTTTCTTCTTTATTTCTTTCTGTAATCACTTCTAATCTTGTTAACTACATAGCCGATAGGTATTTCCACCCTACTCCCCCCCAATTTATGTCTCTGATGTATTTTCCACCGTATTGGAAACTTTCCATTAAACTCATTTGTTTCCTATAGAAAACCAAGATTACTTTGAAAGTGTGACTATCAACACCAAATAGAAATATTAGGAAGACAAATATTAAGGGCTGGAACTAAATCATAGATGGCCCTACAGAATGGTATATTTATGACTCTTAAGATAAAATGGGGGGGATCTGCTAGGAAATGGGAAGGGAAAGATACAGTGTGAGATCATGAAAACTTTTTACTCCAAAGCTACTTTTAAAAATTCCCCCCAAACAACAGAAATAAAGTGCATGTTCTTGTTTCTGTAATACTGGGGCTTGAACCCTGAGCCTTTACACTGAGCCATGTCCCTAGCCTATATGTATGTATGTATGTGTGTGTGTGTGTTCGTGTGTATATGTATGTTTGTGTATGTGTGTATATATATATATTTTTTCTTTTTTTCTTTTTGAGCAGACTGATCTTCAAGTGGAAATGGACAAAATCAAGCTACAGGCAAATCTGAGCCCAGCCCAGCTGCTCACGGGCCCTGGCCTGTAGAGCTGCTGGGATCCCACAGCGAGCGTGAGGGGCATCCAGGGACCGAAATGACACTGAGCCCAAGCGCCTGTCCTGCCCAGGCTCCACTCACCGTCTGTGTTCTCCAGCACTGTGCTGTGGCTCACGAAGGCCACGTCCCCCGCCCCTTCTGCCAGGCACCTGTGGAGCAATGCCATGAGCCCGCGGGGCTGAACTCTTACTCTTCCGGGTTCTTCCCAGTGGAAGGTCTGGCCCGGGTTGCAAGGGTGGCCGTGGGGCACCCAATCCCCACTTCTGCAGCCTCAGTGCCAGCTCCCTGTGGCTTTGCCAAGTTAGGGACCCTTTGGCACCTGGTCCTGCATAATCAGCACAGGCCAGGCCTGGGAGGGGCAGGGGTCCATGGAGGCTGCTGTCTCCCACAGCCAGGATACACAGGGTGTTTTTTTTTTGGTTTATTTTTTTGAGACAGGTCTCACTGTGGTTGAGACTGACCTGGAACTCACTATGCAGCCCAGGCTGGTCTCAAACTCACAGCGATCCACCTGCCTCAGCCTCCCAAGTGCTGGGATTACAGGGGTGCACCACCACGCTTGGCTTACCCAGCGTGTTTTGAAGGTGACTCTGCCCTGACCCCAAAACCCATGACCTGTGTGTTCTCCATGTCACTGCCTAGTGTGGGAGACAGGTTGGGCCCTGCTGGGCAAAGGGACTGCTGGGGGCCTTACAGCCAGAAAAGAAGTGGGGACTGGATGGGCCTGGGGGTGGACAGATGACAGAAGAGCCTGGGGATCCCGAGATCAAAAGGAGGTGCAGATGGATGGGGAAGGTGGCGGTCCATTCTCTGTGCCCAAACTCCCCAGAGTTCCCTGATCCTGGTAGGGACACAGAGGACAGGGTTGGGGAGGATTCAGACTTCCGCTGCTCGTATCTTCCTTTCTGGACACATGGACTTGGCGCACGGGCTCTCAGACGCTCCTTCAGTCCGTGGGGAGCTTACTCTAAGTGCCATAGAAATGCCCACCTGCGCTCTGCCACCCCTCTGTCTGCCCTGCTGGCGGGAGTGGGGACTGGGCAGTGGCCACAACGCTGCTGCCTTCTCTCCGAGCCCTCCCTCCTCCACCAAACTGCCCGGAGCATCCTGGTCCGTTTCTGAACACCCAACACAGAAGCGGAACCTCAGGAAGGGTGCTTTGACGATGCCACTGGGGGCCTCCTGAGCCCGGCTTCCCTACCTACCGGAAGGCCCCGCTGTACCCGTAGTATCTCTCCAAGGGGCTGCTGTCACACACCCTCTTCCCAGAGCCATCACCCCTGCAGGCGTGGCAGAGGGACAGCGAGTGATTGGTCTCTCCTGCTCCAGGGACACAGCTGCCACCAAAAAACTCGCTGACAGCTGTGGGAAAGAGACAGAGAGTGATTACTTGGCCTCACTTTGTACAGACCCTGAGAGAGTGGGAGCCTGGGCTTGGCGGGGACCTGTCTGTGACCTTCCTCCTCCTCCTCCTCCTCCTCTTCTTCATTTAATATTTTCAATTTTTTGAGACAGAGTCTTGCTATGTAGCCTAGGCTGCCCTTGAACTCGCTGCGATCCTCCTGCCAACATGCCCAGCTGGACGCTTCTGAGAATCTGGTCACCTGGTGACTTCAGCGTGAGAAGTGCCGGGGAACTGAACTGTGTTGGGTAGAAGATTCCCAAGCTGTGGCCCTGAGAGTGGCAAGAGCGACCGGGAAGGTCAGCTGCTGTTTAAGAATTGTTCAGGGAGGGCCGGGGCTTTAGCTCAGTGGCACCGCACCTGCCTTGAAAGTGCAAGGTCCTGAGTTTGATCTCCGATACCAACCACCCCCCAAAAAACCAAAAACCAACCAAACAAACAAAACACAAAGAATTGCTTAGGGAGTCTGATGTGGTGACGCACACCTGTAACCCCAGGACTTGGGAGCCTGAGGCAGGAGGATTGCTGTGAATTCAAGGGTGGCCTGAGCTACATAGTGAGACTTTGTCTCAAAAAAACCAACCAAACAAAACAAGAACAAAAGTAAAAACAAACAAACAAAAAAAAACTGCAAAGAATTGAGTTGCTCAGGGAAGGCAGCATTTAGTCCTAAGTGAGTGCACAGGACAACTGACAGACCCCCGCAGGAAGTGGGTGCAGGAAGAATTGAGGCCGCAGGGTCTTCCCCAGGTGAAGGGATGGCAGGGGCAGAGGAAAGGAGGGTGGCCCTGTGCAGCCCCAGGTCCTCACCTGTGAGCACGTCGCAGCCCATCACCGAGAGGCGGCCGCTCTCCACCAGGAAGCCCACGGGCACGTTCCAGCCCGCTGTCTGGTGGAGGCCCGTGTGGCAGGACCTCACGCCCTTCAGGGTGTTGACAGTCACGGAGGAGTTCTTCCGGACCACAGCCACGGCATAGTAGGAGGTCCCAAACTCTAGGAGGGGATGGGGAGTAAGGCTGCCAGCCGCCCTGCAGGGAAGCTGGAGGCGAGGCTGGGCGCGGGGCAGCGCTGTTCTCGAGCTCCTGACGCCAGCCCCTGCCAAGCTAAGCAGCTGGGTCCTCTGGGCCACCTCTGGGTCAGCCACGTTCTCTTTCTTTCTAGTTCTGTATTTTTGGGTGCCTATTTGTTCACGATCTGAGTTCTGCTCTCTGAGGCAGAAACAGGGTCTCTTGCTTACTCTGTGTTCGATAGTGGGGTTGAGTTAAATAAAGAAAACTGTGCTTCAGGCCGATGAGGCAGGAAAAGCTGCCCTCTTGGCAGAGCTGGACCGTGTCCTGGGCCACGGGACAAGCACTAATTCAGCTCGTGGCCAGCGAGGGCTTCTCCAAGGCAGACCCTGTGTGGACCGCGTCCTCCGGTCTGCTGGCTCTGCCGCTCTGGTTACCACCTGCCACCCACCCCGTTCTCATCCTGTGGCGTCTGACAGAGAGGCAGGGAGCCTCTCTGCTGAGCAGGCATGGGCAGGGAGAGCTCAGTGGGCAGATGGGGGTCTGCTGTGCTCCCGGTGAGGAAGAGCAGGCTCGTGCCAGCTCCTGTGTCCCTGGTTCTCCTGCTCTGGAGTTTCAGAGACCTGGGTACCTCAGAGGGCTTGTGGGCCTGGGGCTCTGGGACGGGGCTCCTGTCCCCAGCTGCCCCTCACCTGCATCGTACAGCTCTCCCACCACAGGCTTCAGGCCGTGCTCCGTCCCCGCCTTGTAAATGACTTCTCCACTGAGGGTGACAGCGTCAGCTTTCTGGGCCTGGTTAGAAACTCGTTGTCAGTCCAGCCCGGCCCCCTGTCCTCACTGCAGGGAAGCTGGTGACATCGCCAGAAGGAGCATGGCCTTACAAAGCCCTGGAAGTCCACACCATCTACCTGGCGCAGTCCTGAAGGGGCCAGGACTCTTCCCTGTTACCAGGCCAAGAACTCACCTTGCTGTAGTAACTGTGCTATTAAAAAAAAATAAGACTACTATTACAGGACTCAATTAGATGTGCAGAGTAAAAAGAAAAATCAGTACAAAATGGTAGGTAGTGAAAGTGACTTATCCTGCTTCCTTGCCTTGGTGGACTGCTACACTGGGTTTTCTTGGATTCCCTCTAGGAAAGTCTGCACAGACTGAATCCTGTAAGAGTCACTTTAATTTTTCTTTTAAAATGTATTTTATTTATTTATTTATTTTTTTGGTACCAGGGATCGAACTCGGGTCCTTGCACTTGGGAGGCAGGTGGTGGAACCACTGGGCTAAATCCCTGGCCCTTCAATTTATTTTAAGTACAAACAGCAGAGCCTTATGGGTAGAGGCAGAGCTCGGCACAGTTGCTTTCTGCCCTGGCCTGGGATTGGGTCCAGTCCTGGGCACCTTGGGGCCGAGCTGCCAGGCGGACTCAGGTCTCCTAGCACTGGCCCTGGCACCTGTTCTTTGCTGTCCCGCCCAGCCTCAGAGATGGGTGGAGCCAGGTCGGGGCTCGCGATACAC